ACTCGGGCCCACGAGAAGGGAGGATTGTCCTGAGGGTTGATAAAAGAGACACACACACAAAAGAAACCTGACTCATCTACAAGAGTAAATGGCAACTTTATTAAGCATAAGTCGGGTATATATACTGTGGGGCAGAAAGACACCAGCCCCCCATCAGGAACAAGGAAAGAGAAAAGTCAGGTGGCCGCACCCAAGGTCGGAGAGCAGCTGAACAGAGAAAAGATGAAGCCAGGTGGGCGTGCTCAGGCCCGGGAACCTTGCCTGCTGCCAGAACCTTGCTTGCAGGTGGAATTACCATAACAGTAAAGGGAGAGTTCTCTCTAAGCTACACCCTTGGGGCATAGGTGAAATTAACATAACAGGAGAGGGCAGTTCCATGCTACACCCTCAAGGTGATGCAGTGGAACCAGGAAGCAGAACAGCCCTGCAAAGCGCCTCAGGAAAAATGGGGAACCTGTGTACCTACAACATAAAGCTAGTTTTTATGTAGACAGTTTAGAAGGTGAATTCCTCCATTCTTTCTACATGCTTGGAAACAGCATCATCCCTACTTATTTTTGGTTCTGATGCCCAGCAAATACAATCATAGATTCTTATAAACAATGTGAAAGAGGCCTGCAGGTGACATCCTCTCCCCATGTCTCTTCCTTCATTAACACATATCGTCTGTGAAGAATGAGAGCAGCCTCCATTGCTGACATTTCTGCCACAGTGTGAAGGGCAGAAATTAGGTCTAACACTAACTGCCTCTGCACACAATGACTACCAGGCCTTTACACAAGTCTGACTCCTTGTGTGACTTGTTAGTAACCATGGCAAGTGGCTATTAATGAGATATAATAATTCTTTTTTCCACTTTTTTTTTATTTTTTAAAAAGAAAACAAACTATCTTTTCTTTTCATTTTATATACCAATACCAATTCCCACTCCCTTCCTCCTCCCATACCCCCCACCTCAACTCCCATCCACTCTCCAGAGAAGGCAAGGCACATTGCTCCAAGGAAAGGCCAAGGCCCTTCCCACTATATCCAGATTGAACAAGGTATCCATCCAAAGAGAATGGGTCCCAAAAACCCAGTACATGCAGCAAGGATAAATCCTAGTGCCACTGCTAGTGGCCATGCAGAATGCCCCAGCCATACAACTGTCACCTACATTCAGAGGGCCTAGCTTGATCCTATGCTGGTTCCTTCGCTGTCAGACCTGAGCTGGTGGGCTCCCATTAGCTCTTGTAAACTGTTTCAGTGGGTGTCCCCATCATGGTCTTGACCTCTTTGCTCATATTCTCACTCTTTCAGCTGGACTTTGGGAGTTCAGCCCAGGGCTTTGATGCAGGTCTCTGCCCCTGTCTCCACCAGTTGCTGGATGAAGGTTCTATGGTGACATTTAAGATAGTCATCAATCTGACTACAGGGCAAGGCCAGTTCGGGCACCCTCTCTCTCATTGCTTAGGATCTTAGCTGGGGTCATCCTTGTGGACTCCTGGGAATTTCTCCAGTGCCAAGTTTCTTGCTAGCCCCATAATGTTTCCCTCAATCCAACTATTTCTTTCCTTGCTCTCATCTCTGTCCTTCCCCCATCTCTCAACTATCCAGTTCCCTCAAGCGTTCCTCCCTGCTCCTCTTCTCCCCTCCTACAATATAATAATTCTAAAAGTTCTGAGATCTGGACTCACAAGTGGTGCACTAAAGGAACCAAGATGAATATCAACTTGCTCAAAAAGTATGCAGGGTGAATATTATTAAGTATTTAAATAAAGCCATGTGCAGTCCAAACTGGCTGGATAAATGCTCCAGCCAGTTAAAATATATTAAAAGTGAAGTAAAGATTATGGTGGCTGTGAGATGCAGTCCTAACATCTGCATATTGATATTCTTTGGAGAAGACCGTGCATTGCCAACTCTTATCAACATGGTGTGTGCTGGGGTAGGATGTTTATGTACATATTGGGGCATGCATGTGAACGTGCATATGCAGGACATAGAACAACCTCAGATGCTATTGCTCAGAGCTCACCCATCCATTTTGAGGTTGAGTTGCACACTCTCCCAAGCTGGCTAAGCTATTTGGTCACCAAGCCCTAGGAGCCACCTGTCTCTATGTCCCCAGTACTGTAGTAAGACTATATGCTAGCACATTCAGCTTTTATTATGATCATGGGCATCAAACTCAGGTAGGTCCTGGTACTTACAAGACAAGCATTTCACTTACTGAGCTTCCTTCCATGCTCCTAACTTGGTGTTTCAATGGAAATAACAGATTTCCGTCAATTAAACCCAAATAAATAGACTACAATATTCCATTTTAAGTGAACAAGATTGTGAAGGTCCTAGTGCCACAGCATGGGGATTATATAAACACAATTGAAACTATGCCATTATCGTTTATAAGCACAAATGAGATACAGCCAATAAATCTGGGGTTTTGTCAGGGTTTATTACCCTGGCCTAAACTGTAACATCCTAATTCTTTCCTGACTTGGAGTCTTCAGCAACTCTATCAGAAGTATCATTATAACTTGGACATGTAGAGTAATGTTGGATGCTGGCAAATATGATCCGGAAGGTGTCATTTTGTTTTTTCCATAAGCGTGAAAGTTCTTGATAGGAATCTGGAAACTGAGACTTTACATGAATACACTGACAAGTACAATATTGAACTGGATCAATGAGCAGTTACTTCGATAAGCTGTGGATGGACTTTATCCACAAGGAAAAATGATCATCTAAGCCCGGGACTTTGGATTTATCCAATGAACCACTGGGATTCACCGTCCAACAGGGGTCACTAAAAGAAAAGCTATGGAGCACCCCTTTTTCTGTATTGCCCTGAACGTGAGCTTGAAAGTGCTCATTGGCCTTGCCAGAGGGCAGGGTTGAGCAGCACCAGGAGAATTTCAGTGATGACTTCATGGCCAAAATGTTCCCACAGTTGACCCTGGTAGTGTCACTGGTTATTGTTGCTGCCAGTGACCTTGTGAAGCCTGTCCCAGCTGCCACTGTCACCCAGCAGACATAGACACATATGTTTCCTGAGAAGCAGTAGGGAAGCCTAATCTATGGTGTAGGCTATGTTTGGGGGAAGCACCCTTCAGAAGTAGCTCATATTACCATCCCTGACTTCAAACTCTATTACAGAGCAACAGTCTTGAAAACAGCTTGGTATTGGCATAAGAACAGAGAAGTCGACCTATGGAATCGAATAGAAGATCCGGGTATTAACCCACAAACTTATGAACACTTGATTTTCGACAAGGGAGCTAAAGGTATACAATGGAAGAAGGAAAGCATCTTTAACAAATGGTGCTGGCATAACTGGATGTCAACCTGTAGAAGAATGAAAGTAGATCCACATCTATCACCATGCACAAAACTCAGGTCCAAATGGATTAAAGACATCAACATTAATCCGACCACTTTGAACCTGATAGAAGAGAAAGTGGGAAGTAGTCTACAAGATATAGGCACAGGAGACCAGTTCCTAAGCAGAACCCCAGTAGCACAGACAATAAGAGAAACAATGAATAAATGGGACCTACTGAAACTGAGAAGCTTCTGTAAAGCAAAGGACACTGTCAGTAAGACAAAAAGGCTACCTTCCGACTGGGAGAAGATCTTCACCAACCCCTCATCAGACAAAGGTCTGATCTCCAAAATATACAAAGAACTCAAGAAACTAGACAATAAAACTCTAATTAACTCAATTAAAAAATGGGGTACTGAACTGAACAGAGAATTCACAACAGATGAACTTCGAATGACCAAAAGGCACTTAAGGTCATGCTCAACCTCCTTAGCGATCAGGAAAATGCAAATCAAAACAACTTTGAGATACCATCTTACACCTGTCAGAATAGCCAAACTCAAAAACACCAATGATAGCCTATGCTGGAGAGGATGTGGAGTGAGGGGATCACTCATCCATTGTTGGTGGGAATGCAAACTTGTGCAGCCACTGTGGAAATCAGTGTGACGGTTTCTCAGGAACCTGGGAGTCAACCTCCCTCAGGACCCAGCAATTCCACTCTTGGGAATATACCCAAGAGATGCCGTATTATACTACAAAAGCATTTGTTCAACTATGTTCATAGCAGCACTATTTGTAATAGCCAGAACCTGGAAACAGCCTAGGTGCCCCTCAATAGAAGAATGGTTAAAAAAGCTGTGGAACATATACACATTAGAGTTTTACTCAGTGGTAAAAAAAAAAAATGACATCTTGAATTTTGCTTGCAAATGGATGGAAATAGAAAATGCTTTACTGAGTGAGGTAACCCAGACCCAAAAAGAGGAATATGGTATGTACTCACTCATAAGTGGATTTTAGCCATAGTTAAAGGTCTTTGAGCCTATAATTTGTGATCCTAGAGAAGCTAAATAAGAAGGTGAACATGAAGAAAATCATATAGTTATCCTCTTGGATATTGGAAGTAGACAAGATTGCCAGGCAAACTTGAGTGCAGGGGGGTGGGGTGGGGGGTGGAAGTAAGGGAGATGGTTAGAGAGAAGGGAGAGGGGGAGGATTGGGGATAGCTTGGGGGAATGGAATGGAGGGGAGGAAGGATGGATATGGGACTAGGGAAGTATATATCTCAACTAAGGGAGCCAATTTAGGGTTTGATTCTGGAGGGGTTCCCAGGTCCAAGGAGAGGTCCTCAGATTGTTCCCTGGGCAGCAGAGAAGAGCGTACCTGTACTGGCCTTGGCCCATAACCATACTGATGAATATTTTGCATATCACCATAGAACCTCCATCGGGCGATGGATGGAGATAGAGACAGAGACACACGTTGGAACGCTGGACTTAACTCCCTAGGTCCAAATGAGAAGCAGAAGGAGGGAGAACGTGAGCAAGAAAGGCAAGACTAGAGGGAATCTTCATCTGATGACAGCTGGAGATAGAGACGGAAACCCACATTGGAGCACTGGACTGAGCCCCCAAGGTCCAAATGAGGAGCAGAAGGAGAGAGATCATGAAAAAGGAAATCAGGACCATGTGGGATGGATTTTAAAATTGAAAACACTTGGGATGGTTTTCCAGCGAGGCATGAGCCAGTGTGTATCAAGCTGAGTCCAGGGGACGAGCGCATGAAGATGGAGGTCAGTGCTCCGTTTTTCAATGATCCTCCAGCTCCTCTTGGAGAACCAGGAAAGCCTTTCAGTGAACTGTGGAATTATGAAGTTGTGGAAGCATTTTTCTTGAATGATACAACTGAGCAGTATTTAGATGTTGAACTTTGTCCACATGGACAACATTTAGTTCTTTTACTCTCTGGAAGAAGAAATATTTGGAAAAAAGAGCTTGAGTTATCATTCAAAGTGTTCAGAGGGGAGACAAACTGGGAAGGCATAGCTCTTCTTTCTTGGAGTTATTTTTCCACCAAATGTGACAAAATTCAACTCATTTGCAATTCATGGATCAAATGATAGAAGTTATGAAGCTCTTTACCCTGTGCCACAGCGTGAAGTGCAGCAAGGACAAAAGCCTGATTTCCATCGTCTGGAATATTTCAAGCCTTTCAGTCTTAACACGCTGCTTGGAGAAGAATGGAAGCAGCCAGAATCAGACATGTGGCTAATAGAGACACCTGATGTGTAGAAGTATAGTAGATAACCGAGCATGTCCATCATTTCTCCTCTGTGCTTTTAAGATATTCTAATAAAATACGTAAACACATTTCAACAACAAACATTTTAACAGAGGTCACTGAAATGTAGCATCTCTGTATCAAATTGCATATGTTAACATAGAAATAGAAACTATGTGTAACATAAAATAATTTTTACTTAAAAAAAAAAAGAAGTAGCTCATACAACTGTTACATGGAAATTTATAAGAACTCAGCCATCTTAAAACATTGCATTCTCAGTGGTGACATCCAGTTGCTGCTAAGGACCATGTTGGAATTCATGGTCCTGCCAAGGCTGAGGTCTGTGCGGAAGTTCAGGTCCTGCATTGCTTCCAAGGGTCACACCGAGGTCCAGGATTGGCCGCAACCTGAGGCCTTGTGGTTTCCGACAGCCATACGACCGACAGAATCATTACAACCTGAGTAATCATTCCTTCCACCCAGAGCTAGGATCTCGTCCTGGCCCAAGCTGCTGCCAAGGGCCGTGTCTTGGTCCGTGGTCCACTTGCAGTTGAAGTCTGCGTTGAAATCTGTAGCCTGTGTTACCTCAGGAGGCCTTAGGAACAATGCAAGATGAAGTTAGAGAGGTTTACTGAGCCGGACATGCCTTTCGCTGGCCCTGGGAAAGCTGGCCTCACCTCTTACTGAACATTAGAGCAAGAGAGCTAACTGGCCCCTGCACTCGGGATGGAGAAATGATCCCCACCTCTCACCACAGTCAAGGGTGAATCGACCCTGTCACCATGCATGTAGGGGAGCTGACTCCACCTCCTCGGGTAAGGCAGGTGGCCAAAGTGACTGACCAGCTTGGCAACCACCCAGGCCCACAGCCAGGCTTTGGGTTGACCCACCCTAACATCTACCCCATCTATGGCCTACTGTCACTCATGAAGGCATTATTCCTATGGACCAAAATCTGCAAGATCTCCATCCAAGACTCGAGGCGGCTATATGATATCCCAGAGGAATTCTGGTGAATATTCACTAAGGGCGGTATACCAGAAACCAGAGCCCTTGAACCAGACCAGTGATTCATTGCACTAAACATTTGCCAGGAAAGCTATGGCATAGAGGGGCATAGCACATGACATACCAAATTTTCCAATGCCACCAGGATAAATGAAGAGATGTTGGAGAACCAGGAATAAAGGAGAATCAAAGAGATTTTTCTGTTTTAGTTGTTGGTTTTGTTTTGATTTTGTTTGCAGAGTTTTTTGTTTGTTTGTTTGTTTTGCCTTTGTTTGCTTGCTTACTTTGTTTTATTTTCTTTTGTGAAGGGGGGCAGGGATGAGGGAAGGATATAGGGGACCAAGAGGTAAGCAGAATAAGGATGCATAATTCCCAAAGAATTAATAAGGAAGTTAAAAAATGTGTTTTAAAACTAGAAAAAAGATGTAAAAATAAAAAACGAAATGCGTACTCTTTGAGCCTTAAATTGCAGGAATTCTCAGTTATTTGGTCGTGATTGAAGAAGTAAACAAACAAACAGTGTTCACTGGGACTGACAAATATCCATTCTTTTCCCTCAGGAGGCATTAGACAGGACTCACACAGGATCATCTTTATATTATTGTTTCTTTTCAAACTGGCCATGTGCAATCATTAATCCAACAAAACAACATAGTAACACTGGAGAGGAAGCAGCAGCAAGGCCTCTTTGGCCCAGAAGACAATGACGAGCTGGGGGGTACCACTTTCCTCTCAGGCAGTGCCTCCATATGGTGCTTAAAGAGTTGTTTGGAAATTGCAATAATATTGTTAATTGTGCTGTAAACAATATTTTATATCCCACTCTGCTTTTCTTGTTTAGCAGAACCATTTCAATGATTTGCTGGCTCATTTTTATATTAAATATTTCATCAAGAATGGCTTCTTGACATCAGGGAGTCAGTCAGATATAATAGAGTTCTGCTAACGAGCCTCATAAAAACATAGAAAACAGATAATAAATCAGACTTCTATGCCTCATACATAATAAGCTGGAATTTAGAATAATTAGTAGCCGGCATCCTGCAGCACATGCAAAACACTAAGAATTTGATCCAATTAGAAAAAAAAAGACTGCCAATTTATATTTAAAGACTATTTTTCCATCGATGCCTATTAAATTATCTTGTCTCCTTGATGGTGTATTAGCCATCCTGACTTAGAACTGCAGTGTAGTTTCCTATGCACAACTATTGGCGTTTTAGCATGTTTGCGGGTTTATTGGGAGCGTTGACTAGATAAACAGAGTCAATGTGGAGTAGTTTAGCCACAGCTGGCCAGGACATTTCATTAGAGGCATTACTATCAATCCTTGGTGGAAGGCTCAATGGAAGACCTATGAATTATTCAGAACTCTGCAAGTTGGAAGTGTGACTGACACTTAGCCTGAGGGGCAGAAGTTTGAGGAAGCAAAGAATGACTGAGCAGAGTGATTTTCGAGGTTTTCTAACACACGCTGATTTGATTTCTCTACCCAAATGATAGCCATCATATTGAACCCTTGAAATAAAGGATGATACTATTTTTTTCCCCACAAGGTCATTTACATTCAGAGTAACACACTCAATATTATAGAGTATCAGAATTAAAATGAAATCTTAAACAGAAGGAAAGGTTTCAGTGCCGATGTTAATTCAATTTGCGTAGGTTAATTTTTTAATCAAGTAATGCACAAACAGTTGAGTCTCTAAAAAACTCTGAAGCTAATCTTTAAAGAAGATGGCGGACTTTCAGAAGAGGAATGCTGCATTCTTCTTCTCCTATCAAAACACCTAATTCAGTCTCACATTCAAGCAAAGTACATCACGGAAAGAAAATCTGATTCTCTGCTCCCTCTGCCGTCCAAGGCAAGCTGATGTTTCATTTGGAATCTCAGAGGCTCGCCCACTTGTGGTGGGCTTGCATGCCAATTGATCATCATTCATTGAACTTAGGAGGAAGCGTGTGTTTGATTTACCTTATCGAGAAAACGTTATAACTTAGCAACATGAGACACCATGAACTGTTATTTCTGCACGTAAGTGATTCCTTCGCAATGACTGCCATGGGCCATGGTAGAGCATCAGAGAGTCTCATTTACAGGGCAGATCCAAAAAAAAAAACCTAAAAAACCAAACTTCACAACTTGGAAGCATGCATTCAAGCCATTACAAGGTCACAAAACGGGACTTCAAGCACTGTAAGTTGGGTATCATGCCAAACAAAAGTTTCTTTATATTTATTAACTATGTCTTGGAAAGATCAATATGGCTTCAGAAAATAATGATAATAAATTAGAAACAAACATGCAGTATGTGCATGTGAATATAGTTATTGATATGCAGAATTGCACCAAACATTCTCTTCCTTTTCTGTGGTGTGGATTGTGTGTGGGTATGTGTTCATGGTGTGTATATGATTGTGTGTATGGTATGTGTATGTGTCTTTGTGTTCTGTACTTCCAAAACTCATTATGATTTATTTTCAGTGTTGAGGATAAAACCTGGTCTTTACAACTTTCCTTAACTAAATGTTCCATCCACTGTTCTAGGCTCTCAGCCCATTTCTCATCATTATTACACTACAATGCACAAACACAGTATTCCACCTGATTATAGCTGAAAAGTGAATAATAGAATGCAAAAATAATCAAAAGGGAAAAGGTGACTTCATTTTGAAAGATATATATATCTATAGATATGTATATATACACATATGTATATATGTACATAAACATGTCAACACTGAAATTCACAGGTATATATACATAAAAATTAAAAGCCTATCACCCACAACAGACTACAGCAAGTCGGGTTAAAAGATGCCAGAGCTGAATAGATGTCGTGTTACATGTTCTTAATCCTAGTTCTCTGGAGACAGAGGCAGGCTGATCTCTATGATTTTAAGGTTAACCTGGTCTACAAAGTGAGTCCCAGGATAACATTACTGTTACACAGAGGAACCATGCCTCGAAAAACAAAAAAAAAAAAAAGATGTCACAATCCAAATACTTCATTTTTCTGAACTTGGTTCCCCAACTTGTTAGAGGCCATTGTGTAGAATATAAATGCTTTATCTCAAGTACATTTTAGGGCTCTCAGTCACATAGTCTTAAGAAAATTTAAATTACTTAACTCTCAATTTTGAAATATTTGATGTGAATTTAAACATTCATCTCTCAGTAGCGGTTACAAAATTGCTTCAGTGCACTCTATGTAAGGCATCAGATTATCACTTGAAAGAATGTATGTGTTTATTGCAATGAGGGGAGAAGCCACTTAAGATTTTGGTTCCAGTAACAGGAAATTTTCTTTCAGTTGTGAACAACCCTGGGGAGAGTGGCTGAACTCCAAGAGAAAGTGGGATTAATCAAAATTACATTAATACATAGTATTATTTTATATCTATATGCAAATTTGTCTTCAATGAGTTAAGAGTGAAATTTTTACAGTTATTAAATATTTTAAGTACAGGGGTTCCATACACCTGCTGATATTATACAAGTATTTCATAAATACAATTTTGGCTTATCTTCCATGATTTTGCAAAAATATTTTGTAAAATGCATTCTACTGCTCCAAGAATACACTATAAAATCTGTCTTCTGGTCAAAGGGCTGGCAAGGAGTGATTCTGGAAGTTGACTTCTTTGACAGGAAGTATGTGGCAGGAGAAGGAGAATGATGTTCTCATGGTGTTGGTTATCTATGGTAATTTCTCAGTCATTTTGGCCAAAGCGTGCTTATTATTAAAACCACTGTGTAGTGTGCCAGCTAGTCATACTCAGTCTCCTCAAATCTTTATAATCTCTAAAAATGACTTGCAGAAAACCATAGTAGTGAACAAATTTGAATGCATAAAAATTTCTCACATTTGACTAAGAATAATTTCATATCCTTAAGCACCAAAACTTATGTAAACTATATAAATTCTCACTAGGAACAAAAGTTCCTGGTGCCAAATTTAAACAACAACAGCAAAAAAAAAAAAAAAACTAAGAAACTTTTACCGATGGTTGACATGGTTTGTTTCTTTCAATTACAGGATGCAATGGAATGGTTGCTTGTATCTGTCAAGAAGCTTTTGATACTTTAAGTAATAGTTTTCCACTGAATTTATGAAGTGATTAGTAAGTTCTACCACAGTTATACAACATTGCATTGCTGGCTAAAGAATGGAGTC